GTGAGACGCTGAGTAGGCAGTGGCAACCAGCAATACAGATCAGATTTCAGCCCCCATGTCCCAGAGTGGCAGAATTTAGCCTAAATGATGTAAAGATTTTAAGAGAACAGTAGATTATGATGACTGACAATTAAATACTCTTTCTTAAAGACTTTTAGGAAAAAAAATTACAAAGAAATTTCTCACTATCCTTTTGTTTCTTGCTGTCATAATAGCTCTCTGTAGGCTTGCGTAGGCTTTGTACTAGTGCACAAAAAAAGACAACAGGATCTTGGATAAAGAAACTGCTGACATTTTCCTGGAAAAAAGTTTCAAGGGTCATTGTTTACTATAGTCTAGCAGAATTTCCATGAAAGTTTACCAGCTCAGGCAGAAAACTACTCCTCCGCTCTGCTGCTCATGGAAAAATGAACTTTTTTTAGGGACCCTGTTGGTTTTTGTTACGTTTCAATGTATTTTTGTTCTTTAACTCACTATAGTTTTAACTAACATGCTAGGATTATTAAAACTGATACTTTTTCTTTTTTTTTTTACCCTGAAGAAAAGGTTTTTCTTCCTTCCCCTCCCCAGTTTAGATGTGATTGGTGTTTTTAATTATTGTAATTGCTTCACTTAGGACTCAATTCTGCAAATTCCTGTGTATGTATTTTACCCTTAAATAAGGGAGAGATTTTATTTCTTTTTCCACAGAACAACAGAGGAAGGTTCAGGTCCCTATCCACTGTTGCCCTTAGGAGTCAGAGTGGTTCATCTGTCCCTGAGGGATTCAGCATATGCTCACAGAGAGATTTCAGTTATTCTGTACTGCCTGTATAACAGCAGCAGCAGCAACCAAAAAAAATCCCACCCAATTCAGGGAGTCTGCACTAATCTGTTCAGTGAGCTTGGCTATTAGGATGTTATAGCCCTTGTCCTGAAATGGCGGGAGGGTTTCAGGAAAGCTGGTTAGTTCCTGTGAATTAATTCTTGGGGACAGTGAGGCCTGAGCCAAAACCCCTTAAAATGGATGAAACATCTTCCAGTGAGTTTAGTGGGTTTTCCTCAGCCAAGTCCTACTGGTGTATTTGGGCAGGATCATCATGGCTGTGCTTCTGCATACTAGTAATGTATGAAGTTGTGCTCTCATGATGAGAAAAGGCCTGGAGAAAGCTGTGCTCACAGGAACCAGTGGCTCTTGGTTGCTGCTCATCTTTGATGTTTCTTAATGGATAGGCATGATGGCAACAGCTACCTGTATCCAAGGTTGAATAGGTTGGGAATACCTCATCTGGCCACTGTCTTGTCTGCATATGCCAGTGCTAACACAGAGCAGGTGTGCCACATCTGCTGCATGGATGTATGCTTCTCTTCAGTACTGTGCTTCAAATTCAGAAGAGTGATTCAAAAGAATAATCCAGATAACACAGATAAATGTCAGATACTAAACCACAATCCTTTGCATGCATTGTGGCTGCATTGTGGGAATCGGTTACCCCGTTCTCTTCCCCTGAATTTTTGTTCATTTGCTACCAGGGACACATTTCCAGTGGCACAGCCCATCACACAGGCTGACCTGTTGGCAGGAAGCTAGCTTTTCCCCTCTTTAGCATCCCACACCTTTTATTGCTTAGGGAGAGATGTATAGAGTGTCAGTTGCAATTCACATTGAGAAATTTATATGCTGAATCTAAGAATGTTAATATTTCTCATGTTTGCCTCTTGGCCCTTTTGAATGGCTTCCTTTCTCCTGGTGGAGAACTCTTAAGTATATTGATCTCAGGAGGCATATAAAACAGCATCGGTGATGTCAAGAGCATCTGATTTGGGCAATCCTGATACAGAGATGTCTGAGTTTTCCCTGAATATATGTGAATAGCATACACTGGCTGGCAATCTAGAAGAAACAAGGGCTTGGAGAAACCCCAGGCAGAGCAAAAGATCAAGGAAGACTGAGCAGGAATCTAGAAGAAGCAGGGACTGAGGGAGATACGAACTGCAAATACAGATGGGCAGTGGTAGCAGTCCTCTTTGCCATTGCAGCATAAAGCAGTGATTTGAAAAGCATATAATACCATTGCTAACAAAGAGGAAGAGATCTTGCTTTAGAAATAGAAGTGAGAAAGATTCCTCCCACAGCAGGCACACAGAGTTTTCATCTTCCCACTCACACCACTGCTCCAACAGCATGCAGCCCTGTTTGCATCCTGGCAATTTGCATCCTGGATTGAGCAAGTTGGAAGACTGAAGTTGTGGTAGAGGAAAGCACATTTTCCCTGCTGATGGCAGCATGCTCCATGGGGTGGGTGTGGAAGCAATCCTTTCTCTCCTAGCTTGAGCCTCATGCTTTCCCTGTCTTGAGAGGGAAAAGGGTTTGTGAAGAGATTATTTTTTAAAAAAAAAAAAAAAAAAAAGTCAGTGTCTGCTTATTGGATGAGTAGCTTAAACATACTCATCCAAGGCAGCTGTAACCTAAGCAGCCAAAGGCCACTTGAGCTGGGGCTGAATTTGGCCCATTGTCTCTCCTTCACACCCACAGTACAAGTAAAAGCTGCAGCTTCTTAGGGCTGGGTGGGAGGGAGGAGGCGGGAAAGCCACTGGAGTGTTGTGTTGCACTTGATGCGCATTCCTTGAAAACCTGAACTTCTCATTGCTTCTAGATATAGCAGTATTACAAGTCATTGGGAGGCAGGATACAGTTTGTTAGGAGTGGGACATTATGATGAGTATAGGATCTTTATGGGAGAGTTATGGAGCAATGCTGACTTCTGATTAAGGGCTGGGGGAAAAAGCAGTGCTACCCTGAAAATTGTGTTGGAATCTTCAAAAACTAAATCTTTGGCAAGAGTTGCATTCAAAGGGGTCATTTTAATTCAGAACGATGTTTACTTTCAACTGTTCTTTAAGTAAGTTAGGGCTGTGTCCCTCGAGTAGAAACAGCGAAGTAGACTGAAGGGCTTCTGTTATCAGTTAAATCTGGCAAGTAGACTATTGTTATTCAAGTAGCAAAGATTAATTAGTTTTGTATAGTTACATTGCACTTTCCTCCAGAAGGAGGCTATGGACATTTATAAGTGGTGTACAAGAGTGTCTCTCATCCTCACTAAACAGCAGCTAGCTCTGTGATAGAGCCAAGTCGCTGTTTAGCACTGCAAGGTTGCAGTTTGGAACAACTTAAAGCAAATAATACAGAATATGAAATCCAAATAATATTATATATATATTGAAAGGATCATTTAAACCTGCAGAAGGTGTTTATGAAACTGGAGTTTAGCCAGAGCTAGTAACATCTGTGGAGTTGCAATAAGTGCAGCTAAGTCTTCATGATTCTCAAATATCCATTTCTTTGGATGCTTCCCCTCACTGGCACAGTACATTTTCAAAAGTATTAGTGCTGCATAGGGCACTTATATCAGACCAAGAATGACTTCATTTCAGCTTGAACTGCATTCAAATCCAAAATAAGTTAAATAGGAAGAAGCAATCTTGTTTCAGAATACGTATGCTCATATGGTAATTACATTGTTATGTCAGTTTAATTTGCAGCATAACTGAAAACTTTCTTGTGAAGACACATTCTTAAAAGAAAGATCATTTGTGTCTGTGCATTCACATATCCACTTGATACATTCTAAGATAGCCACAGGGTTTTGTCCTCACACAGTGACCAACATTGCCAGAGGGTACCTCGTAAGAAACGTGGTATGAGTGAACAAGTTTGGGGAAGGATGGCCAGGTCAGAGTGTGATCTGGAGAGCTACATTTTGCTTGTGTATCATTGCCTGCAATTTCATTTTTTGTCTTTTTTACTTCTGTAGAAGACAATAAAAATCAGGTGTCCTAAGCACCTAAATCATCAGATATCCTGGCTAGATAAGACATGGTTGTGTTGAGGGTGGATTTTTCAGGTATTGAGCAATGACCTAAACTTGTTTTCAGTGAAATCGATGCCTCCAGTTGATTTTGGTGAATCCCAGTTAGGCCGTTGATAAGCACTTCTGTAAATGCAGCCTAATCCCCAACTACACTTGATCTCAGCAAAAAAACTCTCAGCACTAAATTGTTGTGTACAACTATTGTGCAGCTCCATTTTTTTCTCCAGCAGGGTATTGTGTCCTAGTGAGAAGAAATGAGCCTGCTGTCCCTGTTTGTAAAGCACTTTGGGATCCCTCAGAGTGTAACATGAATGCCAGTGGGCTGTGGTTCTCTCCCATCTGGGTTTCAGTTCCAGAGCATGAGAATTTTTCACTTTCTACTTTTTTTTTTTTTCCTTTCTGCATTTGCAACAGAGCACTCAGCTGCTGTTTGCGAGCAGCTGTTCTGTTTCCCTGTCTGCCTGCAGCGGTATCCGGACAGCTGCACTGTGCAGCAGTCAAAGGTGGCCAGAGCGATGCCCAGCTTTGTTAAAAAGTAACAAGATTGGGAAAGCAGGGAGGGAACAGGAAAGTCCGTGGAGTAGATTCTACAGCACGCTGTCGATGGGTGCTGAGAGACCTCAGTGACCTACGTGTCCAACTAGAGATGCATTTTCTATGCATCTGTCACAGTAAGACTTACCTGCTGACTCGGAGAAAGCCGTTAATCACAAGGTGATGCTGAAGTTCTCTGGGACAGGAAGTACTGCTGACAGTGGCAAACAGCTTATGTTCAAGTCTCATGGAAACTGAAATGTGCATAAGTGTGTGTTCAGCATCAGCTTTCCGCATACTGCATGACTCAGACACAGAAGGGATCAGGTGTGGCTAAGAACAGGCCTGTGATGTGCAGTATGGCACTTTTTTTTTAATTTCTTGCAGGCAGCTTTCTTGTGGATGGTAGGGCATTATATTTGAGTATTTGTCCAGTCTTGGTTTTACGTACATATTTTGCCAACGATGATCATAGTGTCTGTTTTGTGGTTCCACCTTTGAGCACTCACAAATTAGTGAGGAACAATTCCATGTGCATGAAGTTATGTGGTAGGTTTACGGCATGTCAGGATTCCAGCTTTTCCCAACTTAATATTTCTTTTCTTTGTATTCCAGAAAAAGGCATGGCATACAATTAAAACCATGGTTAACTTACCAGTCATCAGCCCCTTCAAGAAACGCTACTCATGGGTGCAGTTGGCTGGGCATACAGGTGAGATTAATGTCTTCAATGTGTTTGTCTCTGGAGTGGGGATGGTAGCAGCAAGGAAAACAGTGTTTTAGTGTTTCTCTGTTTCCTTCCTTCAGTTAAAAGGAAGCAGGCAATATCACATGAATCTGTGAACTAGAACATCTTTCCTTCAATTGTGGTGGGGATAGGGAAGGGGGAGTGATAGACCTGAATAATGAGATGAGCAAGGAAGCAATGGTCAGACTCTGGGGAAGGGCCAGGCTACTGATGCATCCTTGTAAGGTGATATATGTAAAATACGTGTTAGAGGGAAACAAGAGGGACTGGGGAGGTGAAGCCTAGGCCTTCTGTTGCTGTTGCGGTATGGGGTCATCTTTCTTGACTGAGTAACCATATGTTAGTTCCCTAGTCAGAAGGATTACTGTTCGTGCCTGTATGTGCCTCAGCCCTGGCAAGGACAGTGTTTCTAATACGAACCCCAAACCCCTTGTCTGAATGTAAGCCCTTCTGTGGAAAACAAATCTGGTGAAAATTGACTTGCTGACCAGGTGTTTGCATTGCGAGTCTGTCATTGTTCACTGTATAAGTGCAAGGAGCAGCTCAGTTGTCTGGTTCTAGTTTTGTGTCTGTGGAAGTTGGTAAGTGTGCTCCTGATGTAGGCTTTGTTTCATTGGTAAGACCAAAAAAAAAAAAAAAAACCACCCCAAACAAAAACCCAACAGAAAAGTGATCAGGTTTGCTTCTCTTGTGCTTCATTTAATTCCTATGCAGCCCTTGTTCCTAAAGTGCTTGTGCGGGGTTTATTAGTACACATGTGGGCAGGCACCTACGCTGCATCGTGCTTTAATGCAGTACCTGAACCACCTCTTTATATGCTAATGCATTAATATGTTGCACTTCAAAGCTGTGCAGAGAAATTTATTTAGTCCTAGAAATGGAGTAGCTGTATTTTGCACAGTGGTGTTGGTGGGGCTGACTTGTATCACACAGAGTGCCAAGATGACCCAGACTTATTGCAGTTTTTAACCACAGTGTGTATGGGGTTGGCTTGATCTGTGTGGAGCAATGCACTGGTCGTGTAACCATAACTCTTCTGGAGGCTTGTGTAGTAGGGTGGAAGAGGAGGATTAAGAGGTTACTTGAAGCTGCTGAGGAGAGATACTGCTCCACTTTGCTTTAGATAGTTTTCTGTGGTTGCATTTAGTCCATACTTTTTGCAGCTGCTGTTCTCTGATATGACGAGTTCTTTCTAAACCAAAATCTGGGCCATTGCCACCCTTGCCCTTGTGCTGCAGCAGTGCCAGTTCTAGGATTTGTCGGAGAACAACCAGTTTGCAATGGCTGAAGGATCCTGCTGTGATAAAAGCTGAGCGTTAGCCCCAGGATTAATGAGGCTCCTACTTTGGCACCTATTTTATGTCGTGTAGTTTAAAGGGTACCTCTGAACGAAATGCGTACTTTCCTCAGACGTTATTGGCAGGTTGCGGGACAGGAGAGCGACTTCCGCAGCTGGAGTCTAATTACTGCCAACCTAGGGCTATGCAGACTGTCATTTGCACTGGATACCATTCAGACACAGGGTTGTAAAAAAACACTTGCACTACAGGCTGTACCTGCAGATTAGCAGGACTCCAGAGAAGAGGCGGTACCTGAAGATATACGCATGCGCAGTCACAGTGTGTGTGTATAGAATAGGGCAGTGCTTGGCTTCTGGCCTGTTCATGGCTGTTTAACTATCACTGATTGACCGTACTGCCTCGGTGCATACACACTCGGCAGGTATACTCTATGTGAGGATTAAGGACAAAGCCAACACTGGCAGTGTTATGCAGATTTAAAATAGCCTGTCAGAGGATTAATCAGCTCTGGCTTGTGGCTTCTTCTCGTGCATTTTAATAAGTATAGTAGTGTTTAATATCCTAATAATGAGTTTAGCATGGGAAAAAAACCAATGGCCTGGAGCAGCTGCACTCCTTAAAGCTATAAATTCTGACATGGGAACGTATCCAAACGGACTTTTGCTGCCAACGGCCGTGTTTGTCCTGGGTGTTGTAGTTTTTATGAAAAGCATGTTATCTTTTCTGTTCAGGGGAAATCTTTAACTGGTGTCATGAGGCTGAGGTAATGAAGCTGGAGTGGTGGGGGAAGGTGTTTTTCTTTTTTGCAGGTCAGTCTTGTCAGCATGTGTTTGACTTTCTTTTTTAGGGAGTTTCAAGGCAGCTGATAGTGGGAAGATTCTCAAACGCTTCTCAGAGAATGAAAAGGAGTGTTTTGAGCGATTGATGAAAGACCCGCTACGCTCCTGTGTCCCTTGCTTCCATGGTGTGGTGGAGAGAGATGGCGAGAGCTACATTCAGCTGGATGACTTGCTTACTGATTTTGAAGGGCCTTCTGTCATGGACTGCAAGATGGGGATAAGGTGGGGTACATGAAAAGGAAAGTGCTTTCTAACCCAAATGCATTTGAAGGAAGTGGGGGAAGGCAGGATGTAGTCATGCTCTGTCTGGAGGAGTCTGGTAACATTTTTGGAGCCTCGGGATTCAGTCCAGACAACCTGTTGTTGGTATGGCAATTGCCTTGGACAACCTGAGGAGAGTATGTCCCTCCCAAAGCATTCTATGATTGTTGCCTGATTCTATGTGGATTCTGTAAACTGACTGGTCTATAGCCTCAAAAACTATCAACATCAATATATTTTCAGGGGTGATTTAAGACAAAAGTTTCTCTGCAGTGGCCTGATAATACATGGGAAAAAAACTTACATGATTCATTCACTGCCAGTTCATTTAATCTGTGTGTATGGAGTGATTGAAAAAACCGCACAAAGAGTAAAATTCCCATCTCCAAATGTGAATGACTAAATAGCAGTGTGAAAGTCCATTTCCAGTGCTTGAATGAGTCTTCAGTGGTATTAATCTTTTCTGTAAAGAAGAATTGGCCATCTGCTCAGGACTGACCTGTGTTTTTCCCTACTCTGACATCTCCATGATGCTATCACCTTGTTTTCCAGATTCTCACTTTCTTTTCCTTTTCTTGCCTGTGATTAAGAGGAAAACCTCAAAAATATTATCTAAACATAACAAATAGATAGGGAATATGTTGAGAGCCTGGAGTAACAGTACAGAGAGGTATGAACTGTCACAGTAGTCTTTTGGGTGCCAGCTGAGATGCTCAAGAGTTATTGTCATAAATGAGTTATTCAACTTACAGGAGTGCAGACAAGCCTTTTCAAATAGATGCAGGCTCTTAAATGAATTGTCATTTAAATCAGAGTGGAAATGCGTAGCACTGGTATGCCCAGAAGAAAGAGGAGAAGGATTTGCAGCAGTACATATTTTATTCAAAGTAGGTGACATTCTGGTAATGAGTGACATCATCTCCTAAACACCAGCCTGGTTTATTACATCTGTGATGAAGAAAGTACACTCCAGGCAGCTGACAAAGTGCAAGCTTTGTGGAGAGACACAAGCTCTAGGAGTCCAGTGGAATGTGGAGAACATGGATAGTGCCTTTGTAATGGTTACCAGATTAACAGGTTGAGTGACAACAGCAAAATGTGGAAGGTTTGTCACCCTTCACTTCCCTGTTTTTAGTTACCTCTTCTGGTTTGGAGCTGCTCAGATAATCTGCTTTACTCTTTCATTTTTACTATATGAAGAGTGATTCTGTCACTGTCTGATGCGTTAAGTAAAACCTTAATTGCTTTCTGAGGCCTAAAACAATCACACATGACTGATGTTGGGTTTTTTTGAGGAGAGAAGACAGTAAGACTTCAGCAGTCCTATTTGCTTTTGATTTCACTGTAAGTGATCTCTCCTAACTGTCATCTGAAAATACAGTTCCATTTCATGGCACAGTAGGAATTCAGCTTTCTCCCATTCTGTAAGCAGGACATAACAATAAGATGTAACAATAAGTAAAGGTACAATTAGAACAAGAAGTGAATGATACAATTCCTGACTCCTGCAACTGTTTCACTGAATATGCCTGTGCAGTCATTAGTCCATGTTCTTTAGTTTCCCTGTATGCAAAACCGGGGTAATGATAACACTTTCCTGGTTGACATTTCTTGATGCCAGGTTATAAGTTCTAAAAAGAAATGTTTGGGGAGTCCTTACGGTTTTGTTGGGATGTGATGTTTTTGCAGGACATATCTGGAAGAAGAGTTGACTAAGGCCCGTGAGAAACCAAAGCTGCGTAAGGACATGTACAAGAAAATGATTGAAGTGGATCCTCTTGCTCCCACAGCTGAAGAGAATGCCCAGCATGCTGTCACCAAACCCCGATACATGCAGTGGAGGGAAACCATCAGCTCTAGTGCCAACCTGGGCTTCAGGATTGAAGGGATTAAGGTAATAGTTTCACTTCTGCTTGGAGACCAAACTTTCTTTGATTTGTTGATTAATCAAAAAGCTAGTGTGCATAATTAGCCAGGTTTTCCAAAGGATTATGTGAAAATGCACTAATTAAAACGATAGAGTTCAGTGTATTGTGGTTTTAAAGCATCCACAGTAATTAGAGTATATTAATGAAGTTAAGCATCAAATGCGTATCAGCCATACTTGGTTCAACCACAGAGACATTGCAGGAAGGACGCAAGCAGGTACACAGAGTAGATACGATGAAAATGAGACTGTTACAAGGAAGAATTCAGAACTGAAGAAATAACTGCCTCTCCCCATGCAATTACCTTTTTTATCCAGAAACGATATATATTTATTCCAAGTGAATCAGAGTAAAGTGGTTTTGTTTATTTGCAAGGCATGTTAAAAGCATTAGCTTAGATATTCTTGGGATTGAGGAAACCCCTTTTCCTTTTAAGTGCCTGACAATATCTGGTATAGATGGAGCTGGATTAAAGCCAAAACAACTAAAAATAAAATTTCTCCATCAACAAAGTCCATCTGTTGTTCTTGATGGATAAGCTTGTGCCCCTATACCATTCCTAGGATACTACCTTACAGCCACAGAAGAACCCCGGGCAATTTTCTTTCCTACCCATTAATTCTTTGTATTTGTTGTGCCCCATGGCAATGTCAGATACCTACCCAGAAACCCATTAGGACCTACCCTCAGAATATCAGCCACCTGACTCAGTTACACTTGCTTACATGTTAACACTTGCTGGAGTCCAGAAGTGTGCTTTCTGCTTGCATAGGCCTGTCACAGCTAGCCTTAAACTAGTTTGCTTGGGTTTAGATAGTGGTGTACCTGTAGCAGCACAGAGCATGGGGAGGCCTGCCCAAACCCACCCGCACCCTGGATGAGTACTTGTTACCTGAAGCCCATGATGGGACAGCTATGAATAAGTTAGCACGGGTTACCATGTGTGATTTCAGGATGTTCCCAGAGCATATACGTTTAATTTAGGTATGCTAGGACATTGTAAATTATAATCTGTATGAGTTTTGCTTCCATTTCATAGTTCAAGCACATAGGAAGAAGAAAGGGATAAAAGAGGGTGATGCTGACCAGCAGAGGCTCTTTAACACCCCTTTCTTCTCTGCTTCCCTGTGTTGTCTTCTCCCTTCCTCATTCACAGATTCTCCTGCTGTGATGCAGGAACTAGGGCTTCCAGCTCATGCTGTGCTGGCCCCCTGTACGCTCTGCCACCCACTCCTGGCTGTTAGACACAGGCATCCTCACACAGGAACTGTCTGGGTGGTAGATGATCTGGCTCCAGTCCAGCCAAGACGCTTCCTGTCTTACCCTTTAGCCATGTAATGATGTTATCAAGATTCCTGTTTTATTCCTATACCACTTAGGTCTTTGGATGCTCTGTGTAATGGAATCAGAAACCCCAGATCTTGATACCTTTTACATATGTTCATGGAAAGATAGTTGGTCAGTGCAGAAGACGTACAGATTTATGTTGAGTCCTGGAGAGTGACTGAGCTAAGGAAGCACAGAGGAGCTCCAGTAAAACCTCCTGCCCTGTTCTTTGTGGTTTGGCTGGTTATCAGTGGGCGTTAGGAGCAGTATGGCACGCAGACTGCATCTTATTTCCCTCTGAGACAATGCTGTAACTGTGCAAAACAGGACACAAATACTTAATCTTTTATTAAGCACAGGAAACACTTTGGAGTACTGCAGTGCATTACCTTTTCCTCTATCTCTCTGTGCTGTTATAAGGGATGTAGGTATTATTCTCTTACTTTTTTGCATGGAGAAATGGTGACAGAAAGTGAGTTGTTCAAGCAATACAGCTAGTCAACACTCCCTACACTGTTTCACTATGGCTGAACTGTACATCCAGTTCTGTATATTTGCAGAAAAGCAAAGCCATGCTGCAGAGATCCTCATTTTGAGAGGAGAGCCTGTAAGGATTAGTGGTGCCAGCTAGTGGTTGACAGGAAAAAGGGGTTGTTCTCCCCGAGTGCACTGATAACTCCTGGAGTTAGCTGAACAGGTATGTTGGGTTTGGTCATTCAGAAATATTCCTGCCCTGTGGCTACTGGAGTAAGAAGCAGAAGCAAAGAAACTGAAATGGTAGAAGCCCTTCTGTGAAGTGGCTTCCAATAAATGAGACCTGATTCACCATATGGACTCCTGCTTCATCAGTGGGGTGCCTTTTTTCTTTATGTTGATCCATCTCTCTTCCTTGCCTTGCTCCCATATCTCTGAAATCAGGCAAGTTTCAGTTATGGGATTTGTCCCTCTTCCTCTTATCAAAAATAGTTGGAACCATTGGGTTTCCTTACAGCTGGCACCTGATGCTCAGTCTCTTGTGCGTGCCAGATTCAGAATGCAGGTTTCCTCTCTGGAAGAGGCTGTCTGAAGGCTAGGCATCACAAACGTTGTCTCTACAACACTAATGGTTTTGCAGAACAGAGATGCATGAGGCTGAGAATCAGGAGTTCTGTCTTCCTATTCTGTCACTGAATCTCTGTGCAGTTTAGGAAGTTACTTCTTCCTTTGGTACCATTCCTTTAGCTGTAGATCAGGGATAGCCATTTTTCCAGAAGGACATCAGGTTTGATTCATAAATCTTTGTGAATCCATTTAGGTCATGATCTTAACCCAGAGCCCTTTAAAGGAAGTCTGCAGAGGAATCTGAGCAAGACCACACAGGTTAAGACAGGTAGCACTATTTTATGGAGCAGCCAAACCTGCCCTCCTGCTAGCCATGTCACTGTCACATCTAATGAGAAGTGCTGCCCACTAGCTGCACTGTGCAATGGACTGCTCTGCTGTGCAGGAACATAATGTGGAGGCCCTGACAAAGGTATGACTTCAAGGAGCAAGTCAGGAGGCAAGTGCCTCCTGGGGATCAGGTACATCCAGAGTTGTTGCAAGGACCTGGTAAATATAGAATACGAGGGATGGTGCCATTCAAAATCTGGATGCTGTTTACAGCAAGTAAAGTCAGGCAGCAGTTACGTTTCCTGCCAACCACTGCAAAGGAACAAAATCATAAAAGTGTTTCTAAACAACAGGGAAGCAAGCAATTAGTCCATCCAGACAAAAAAAGGATGAAAAGGAAACACAGAGCAGCTATTCCAGACTTTGCACTGGGATTTGGGGCACGAGGAGAAATTATTTTTAAAACAACCTTACTCCAGTGAAGAGGTACGAGGCATTCGACTAAGTTCCAAATTTCTATGTGCTGTTGAGTATTATCATACATCAGATCAGATGGCTTCTGAACTTCTCTTGCATAACTTACACATCTCAGGCTGACATGCCACACTTGTATCTGGCCCACAGCCTTGGAATCAAATTCCATTTATTCTGCTGCTAGGAAGTCTGGTAGGTGGGAGGCTGTACTGCATGGCTTTGCCATTCAGTCAGTTCATTCTCTTACATGATAAAACTGGAAATTTAGCATTACCAGATTTTTTCCTTCATGTACTAGCGGCCGAGTTTTGCTGTGGAGTAAATAGTGTTTCATCTGCTGAGACTGGAGCTGAATTTACCCAGTTTTGGTGCAGTGACTTTTTAACGTGTGGGAGTGAACACATTTTGATGGCCTGTTGATTTACTCTTATAATGGAAATGAGGGATTTCATTGGGCTGATACAATGGAGAGGAATACAGTTTGATAACCTTGCAGGCTTTTCATGGATACAGACTACCAACTGCAATAACTGCTGTATTTTACATGCATGTCCTAAAAGCTCACACTTGTGTCTCTTGAAGCAACAGGGATGTTCTTGGAGAAGTGCATACTCATATAGTCTATGTTGACAGATATCCCTGATTCATGCACTGCTCTTACTTACTTGTAGCCCCACAAGCACAAACTGGTCACTACCAGCACATAAAAGGACTTGATTTTTCAGTAGCGGGATGCTTCTTTACTGAGTTGTACTGCTAGCATGAAAATACTCTGAATTTCTCAAGGACCCAGTTGGATACAAGCATGCATGCAACTGTCCTTTCCCAAAATTCACACACCTACTGTGTCACTGCTAGCATTGCAAATCCAGACTTGTTCTTGGCTGCACCTAGCTTTCTGTTCTGTGACTTCTGGGTCACATTAATGTGCAAAGGTGTATTGGGAACTGAGTCTTAACCACAATTCTTTGATTTCCTCATTGAAAAATGAAACAAACAAACAAAAAACCCAAACAAAAAGGACTAGTAAAATTGGGTTTGAAAATGTCTCCTTACATCCCCAGCCAGGGTTTGACTAATCCAAGCTAGATGAGAGGACAACCAAAGAGGTCACTGTGGTTTGCCCCATTGAACTTTGTGCTGCTAGTACTGACATGTGAGAAAACCCTCCTGCAAGCTGGTAGTATAATGAATTGGTTTTTTTTTTTTTAACTGCACTCAACAGGAAATGAAATGCCATTTAAAGTTATCCAATCAGCTTTTGTATCTTTTCTCCACTTCTTGCTTGGTTTATCTGCACTCTTCCTGTTCAACTACTCACTTTCATCTGGTTAGGAAGAGCCGAGCTGATTGTGGTCCAAGAGGATTGACTGATGAGGGGAATGATGTATGTGTAGTATAAATAGTCTCTGTCTTTGTGCGTTTTTGTGCAGAAGGCGGATGGAACATGTAACACAAACTTCAAAACTACGAAGACACAGGAGGAAGTTCTACAGGTTTTTGTGGAATTTATTGAGGGCAACACAACTATTCTGGTGAGTCTGAAGTCTTCAGGTTCAATGATATTTGACCCAATGAACTTGCTTCAGGGCCATGTGTCCTCTGGTACAAGAAAGACCAATTAAACTATCAAGGAAGAATATGGTTTGGACTTCCAGCCCCTCTCAGGAGATGGAGTGGACACAGGGACTTGGTGGGCTGTGAGAAGTAGTTGGCTGAGACCAGTTCTGGCAGCTGTCACCATGAGCTCACCTCAAGTTCCTCATGCTAGCAAAGCGTTGGTCAAGCTAACTTATGGCTTGCCATCAGCTTCGACCACGAGTGTTAGATGCATCAGGGGGATGATGATGTCTAAGCAAGGATTGTGTTGGCAGGAAAACTTGTGATTTGGGAGTTCAGTCTGGAGAGGATAAAACCAGAGTATGGGGGCAGGAAGTGAGATTGGTGGCTGGCTGTGCTCCTACGTGTGAGACTCGCCTCAAAGAGCAAGTCCTGTATGCTACTTCATGGGTAGCACAGCAGGCATGTGGTAGATAGCATAACATGTCTTGTCTTTGGAACTTCAAAGGATGCCATAGTGTTTGCTGCAGTGTAGAAGCCATTGTGAAGGCAGATAGACTTCCAGGAGGAACATTCTTGGTAACACAGGGCAGCATTAAAAATGTATACTAGAGCCTTATGCATTAGGCCTTGGGTTTTTTTTTTTTTATCCCCACCCCCAACATGCTTGGAGCTCCTTGTCTCTCTAACAAAACTTCATTCTCTTTTCACTGTGGAGAACGGAACGATTTTTAATTGCTTGAAACTTTTTTCTCTTTATTAAAAAGAAAAAAAAAAGGGATGCAGAAAGTGTGCAGCCAGATGCTATCTCACTGCATCCAAAGCAAGACAGGCAAGTCTGCTTGGTGTAACACGTGCAGCAGAGGAACTGCAGTCTGTTCATTCACTACGAAAGCCTGTTGAAGTGTATTTTCAGATTGACTTTCAAATGATGAACCTGTTGTGTTGAAGGACTTCTAGCCTAAAATTAACATGATCTCTTCATTATATTGACTCTTGTAAACAGAGTATCTCCATTTGTTCTTTACTTAAGTGTTCACAGTTGGTTTTTTTCTCCTCTTCCTCCAGAAAAAATACCTCAAGCGTCTGCAGGAAATTCATATCATTCTTGAATCCTCAGACTTTTTCAAGCAACATGAGGTGAGCAGTGAGTGTAATGCTTTGGAGGTGTATTGCTGCTTCATTTGGTCAATTCAGGTGTACTTCAGAATAGCCTGCTGTGTTAGTAGAAAGGAGTCTGTAGTAGAATAAAACTAATATATGTTAACAACACAGATACCTCAAAACCTTCATCACAACGATACAGAAGATTAAACCAGTTGAGGAATAATAAATCCTCTTATCTTTATAGCATCCCAGTGCATATAGCTCTGGGCCACTGCAGGGAATGGTTTATTAGTACCAGTTTCCTGTGGCTTCTCTAATCTCAGTGTGTTCCAGTGGGAATCTTTATGGGGGAATGGTAATGTGGAAGCTTGCATTTGGTACAGTAGCATTCAGTTGTAGTTTGACAATGAAGACTTTATTAACTGGATTTACATTGAAACACTGTATAATTCTGCTTTATATGTTCTCCTTGTATGCTTTGCTGTGGAGAAAGCATCATTAGCATTGTAAATTCTGCTTGTTACAGCTCAAAGATTTTGAGATCAGACATTTTATTTTACCTTGTTGATTTCCTCTTATTACTAGAGGCATTTTTGTTAATCACTGTAGTCACTGGCTTTTGCTGAATTGCTCAAATTGAGACCTGCTGCCAAGTGAGCTGGAGAACTGCTTTTCTTCCCTTTGTCTACTGGGTACCTTTTCCCATCTACAGGCCCATTTTTACTTTGCTGATTGATATGGTTATGCAAATTGAGCATGTAATTTGTCAATGCGTGAGTGCAACCCAGAAGTCTGTTGGGTCACAGATGAGAAGGTCATCTTCTTTGTGGGAAGCGTTAAGTGATGGGGGAGAGCTAAAGATGTGTTTTTAACCACATCATCTCAATCTGTCTTCCAGGTCGTTGGAAGTTCACTACTTTTTGTACATGATGGCAGTGGGAATGCCAATGTGTGGCTGATCGATTTTGGAAAGACCACCCTTCTTCCTGATGGGCAGACACTGGATCACAGGATTCCCTGGCAAGAAGGCAACAGGGAGGATGGGTACTTGTTGGGACTGGACAATTTGATTGGCATCTTGGAAAGCATCACTGAAAGATGAGTTGAGAATGGCACAAAACTTGCAGGGCTGCTCTGTAACTTTCTGCTCTACTGGGATCACTCAGTTAGAAGGAAACCTTTAACTCCCTCCAAACTCCTGTGGTCATCAGTGCAGAGGGAGCTGCATCCAGAACCCAGCAGTTAGTCATCAAAATGACTTTGCATCGGCCCTCTATGAACCTGAATAACTCCAGATTGGTCTGTATTGCATCAGCCTAACTTCAGACTGGTCCTCAGAGAGTGAAGATCTCCATACTCAGGAATCACACCAGCATGAGTCAAGAGATCTGTATGCTAAACCAGAATGATTCTGATTTCTGGCAAACCGATGGGACTCAGATTACCTCTTAGTGAACCAGAGCAAGTGTGTGGGGATTCAGGCTAGGAATAACAATTTTTCAGGGAACTGCATAGTTTTGAAACCAGCAAGAGAGGGTTTTTTTTCCCCCTAATTCCAAGTCTCCTTGCTCCTGTGTACACTATAGGTTGGACCAATGACTTCTGCTGCATTGTGTTACAGCGTGCACAAGGTGGAAGTAGGCGATAATCACAAGAAACCTGGAGCAAAGGGAGACAGCAGTTTGTAGTGGCTGGATGTGGTAACTGCTGTTGACAACTCCTCCTCTTTTCTACCCTAGCCTTGATTCACTTCTATCCAAGAACAGCCTTTGCTTTTATGTAGCCTCTCAGGAGATTACAAATACTCTAGGGAGAGAATAGCAGCCTATTGTCTCCAAAAACATTTGACTTTCAGACTGGGTGGGCTGTTGGAAAAGTGCCTAGCTTGGCAAGTTTGGCCTTTTGCAGCTGAACTGCAGTTCTGAAAATCAGTAATGACTCTTCCGCACACAGACCAGGGAACTAAGGGGTTTTTTTCAAGGCTTGTTTATTTTTAAAGATAAAACCCCTATACATGTGCACACACACGCCCGCACTAGTAGCTAGCAACCAATGTGATCTCTTTAAGATCATGGTTTGGCTGTCTCCTAATGCACGTGACTTCTTGGCCATGTTCCTGTTCCCAAATACGATGCTGCCACTTCAGTGTATAGACTGGCGCAGCGATCACGAAGGTAATGTTTCTGCATTCACAGCATTACACTAATGGTGAGATAATTCCCAGGCATCCTTCCTCCAAGGTATCAGCTGTTAACTCAGGGCAGTTTGGGGGAAGGAATGTCAATATATCACATCCCCTAGTCCCTGTTTGGAATCACAGGGCCATCTGTGGTTCATTCTTCTTTTGCTGTGGCCCAGGCACAGCCACAGAAAATTCACAGTGTTTAGGTTAGAATCGAGAAAGACTGAAGTGATTTCTTGTAATGGCTTTACATTCCTTCTCTGCTTCTCATCACTGGAATAGTTCTTAAAATACGAGCAGTATAAATACTATCAGTATTCACATGTTCACTCACATTCCAGGTTTTAACATTAATAACGTGATGATGCAGTTTTCAAAATGAGGACAAGACTTATATTACTATTTGATTGTTAATCCCCTTTCAACAACTGAAGCCAGTAATGCACACTGATCAGAAATTGCTGTCTTTTGCCAGTGTCCTGTGTTCAGAAGAGATTCTGAGAACTTTAGGATATATGAAGGTGACTCCATGCTTTGGGAAACTGCTATTTCAATAATAATCATGATTATGAGAAAAAAAACTGAGTCCAGATCTGGAACGAAATGTATCTATAACATTTGTAATTGGAATTGAACAGCCTAAAATAATTCCTAAAAGGAGTTACTTTAGATAACACACTACTGTACTAAGAGATCAGTCAGATTTAACAACTCTCTCATCACCTCTAAACAAAACAGCAGTATTAAAAATTCAAGCTCAGTTGTGACCTAAAAGTTGGATGACATAGAGTGGGTATTCTGCAGGAAGAAATGACACATGGAAACATTTCATCCTAAAACAGAAGTTGTTTGAAACTGGTAATTATTTTTGCAGTTCACTGCAGATTCAGACGACTTCTGTGGCCTCGCAGAGGCCCTCTCAGTTTTATTTTCATGATAGTATGTTAATGAATTTTCCACTTAAATGTTTCAGAAGGTTTACACTTTTTTTTTTTAAGTGACAGCAAGCCTTCAATAGAGAGCACAGACATAAGCATTCCAGATGCCTCCTAACTTTTGAACTGCTATGAGATGACATTAATCTGTGGTGAATTTCATACAATTTGGCAGGTAAGCCATCGGTTAGCAGTGCTTAAGGAGAATAGGAAGTAAACAGGTCTCATAGGGGAAGACTTTAACAACAATACCTTTTCTATGAGACTGCAATTGCAAGCAGTCCTACCATAATTTAAAAGAAAAAAAAATTAGAAAAGTTAGAAATGAGACTGTTAAGGTGATAGAATTCATTAGCGGTTTGCCTAGTTAATCTTCAGAGTTAAATTTCTTTTTTTGCTACCATATATGTGAATCTTTTGCACCAGTGCAACTTATTTTCTAGAGGGGAAACTTAGAGGTAAAAGTTGGTGCTCAAATGTCAGTTGAGAGTTTGAGAGAAACTTTTAGAATGACCGTCTAGTTCTAAAGGAGAACAAGAAGCAATGTGGTACCAGTAGCTTCAAAAAAATCAACTGCTGCTAGCACCTGGATGGTTTGCAGTATGTGGTCTTGGGGGAAAACATGGAGAATGAGCCATTCCTCTGCAGTAGTTGAAAAGGTCAGAGGGACAAAAAAAAAGAAAACCTCTGCTATAGCAGGCCCTGGTCTGGAAACTCATTCTGATGATAAATAGTTCTAGCAAGTTAGTTTTGAAATGGCCCTTTGGCTTGCTGAGGGGTTAGAAGGGAAGAAGCCACAATCTTCTGCTGCTTTTGCGGGAAGGGAGAAAAGGAGGCAGCTTTTCATTAGCAAACGGCAAGTGTAGGACTGTAACTGAGCACTGGCGCTCTAAGGGGCTGGAGGCTTTGAGCTCATGAGCAAGCTACCACAGGGTAAGTTAGATACCTTGATTCACATCGGATGGCCCAGAGTGCCTGTCTGTGTACGCTCACTTGCTAGTGTGAGGAAGCAGCATAGCCTTCTTTTACTATGGAGTAAGTTGCCTTGAATAAGCTTATATTTACAAGGGGGTCAACATGACGCCTTTGCACAGGCATGTAACAAGAAGGGCTGATACATGATAACCAAGGTACTTACTTGTTCACATACAAATCCAGACTGTAGTTCTTTAATGCCTCCACTGAGATACTGCCTCACTCCGGAGACACCGAGAGCACGTGTTTCCACAGCATGATAAGATATGCTGGCCCAGAGGCACTTTGGTGCTGAACAGCTAACCTCTGATGTGGGCACCAAGGTCTTTAAACTCACTAGTTAGATGCAGCAATGCTTACTGCTGTAGCTGCTGCATTCCTGTGTGAATCTAGCAGTAGGACTTCTCTCCCTCAACTTCATCAGTGACTGTTTTTTTGGCCTTGGACAACTATCCTCACAGGAATGGTGTGAGGCTGTCCTTCATTATTGCTTGCAAGATGCTGTGAGATTCTTTGGAGGAAGGTGCAATATAGAAAGAAATGCACAAAGAGATAAAACAGCTAAGTTTAAAAATGATGGGGGTGTTGGGGCCCCACAAGGATATAGGTTTGGATGAAATTTAACCAAAGTGGTAAAAATTAAATCCCTCTTAATGTTACATGGGGGGAAATCCACTTAACATCTGATCCAGTTCCTATTATAGGGAAAGTTTTTAATGGGAGTTGGACCAAACCCTTACGTATCTCAGAGGGCTCTTGTTTTTGTTTTTTTTTTTTTTAATTGCTGTTGTTATGATTTGTTATTCTTAAGGTACTGAGATCAAATGGCCTGTATCATCCACAGTGCATCTGTTCTGAACACTACAATGCAATGCTGACCGTGGTCACTTTTGACATTGACTGTATTGGTTGAGTGTTTGTTACTCTGAAGTGTGTATGCTACTAAATAAATGAGACTGGAGGAAAAGATGACATTCACTGTGATTTGGTCACAGGACAGTAAAATCTTTTCTTCAAGAATTTCCTTAGGGAAGGGTCAAAAACTATTTATTTCAGTACTTCTTGTGCTTTTAGTCTTTAGCATCTAATATTTCCTAAAAAAAACCCAGTTCTGAGACATCTAGAAGCTAATGTTGGAGCTTGGTTCCAAAACCCGTTAGGTATGTTTGCTTTAGAACCCGATCCACACAAAGCTTGACAGCTTCCTCCAAGGTAAGCTCTGTCTCAAAAATCTCAGTTCATAGCCTACAAGTCTATCAAAAAATTGTGCATCAAAAGGCAATTGGCAGACTCGGAGCAGTTGACTGTTCCACGGGGCAGTTTTGTGTGGCAGCAGGGAACAAGCAGTCAACCCTCCAGGCCTGGCAACACTTCTTAGCAAGAGAGAGCATCCTCTTACCTTACTGCAAAGAGTACTTCGCAGAGAGGGAAACAAATAGCCACCCTTAGTGTCTCTTTATTTTGTGTTGCAGATATAGAAGTATACACTTGTCCAGCTTTAACTTGCATAGAAGCAGGCATGTCATCTACTTATGTACAGTAGTCACCCAGAAAGGTAAGTTGGCAAGAAGTGCTGCCATGGTCAGAGGTAATGACAAATCAAAACCTATTCAACTAAATGAAAAAGTCATGCGACAAGACAGGAAGATGTTAGTGATGTCACGCCTAAGGTCTCTGCATCAGACAGAAAAATGTAGGCAGCCAGGAGGAGAGAGCATGGCCATGTCTACAGGAGAAACTGTCGCACAGAGCTCTGCTGCTTGAGGGTCTGAGGAAGCACGGGCCCTGGCTGACAGAGCTGTGGAGATGCAAATACATTGGGGAAAAGCGTACTCCCAGCAGCAGCAGCATCTTCTCTTTCAGCTAAGTAGGGGGAGGGTGTTAGAGGTGGAATAAGCTACACTTACAAAAGCCCGTAACTATTTAATTCAACTAGCAAAGCTTTCTTAGTGCACACCTGCCCGTTGGCAAATCAGTGGAGAACTTACCTCAGGAAAGGGGTTGATATGAGGGGACACCTCAAATCTGTGCAGTTAAAAATTCTGTGTCTTTAAAGGGAAAATGAAGATACAAAACACTTGAGGAGAGAAAAGGTAACAAAGAAATCAGAAGCAAGAATATCAACAAATGTGAAAGGAAAGCAGAGAAAGACAAATTTAAATTTGCATTATTATTTCATCTTTTTGTTATTCAGTCCCCTCTGTAAAATGTATGTATGAGGTTTTATGAAGCAACATAACATACTAATGCTGAGCTCAGAAGAGAAAAAAAACCCCAACAACTCTATGCACACAAATATAAAAACAAGTTGGTAAAAGACCCATCAGGAAGAGCAATATATAGTAATCCTATAAATGGCTGAGTCTCCAGTGGGGAAGTGGTGGAAGACTCTTCACATGGATTATAGGACTGAATTAATCCCAGATCTCCAGCTTATGTCATTCTTCTAGGAAACAAAATCAGGTTTTGGCTTTCAGTTGCCAAAGTAATCTAATTTTGACGCTATGGGTTCAACTCATTAATTATGCACTAAAACTGTCTCCTTAAAAAACAGTTTCAAGCAAGTTATATTTTGAAATGGTAGCAATTGAGCACTATGAAATCTGTGATTGTATGAACAGGAAGTTTCAGTCTCAGAATTGTAGGACTGAAGGTTGTGCTATATGTCATTGCAATTATTGTTTGTCTTTTTTAGATAATATGGTTTGGACAGCATGTAACATTTCAGCATCACAACAGGAGCAATATTAGCATTATTTCCTCCAGGATATTAATTAAAAATTCATTATATGTGAGGGTTTTTAAAAGCAGCTAAGGGATCAGATATGCACAGAACTGTTACAGGTCAAAGAGTCAGGGCAACTGTGCTGACAGAAGCTCATTTACCTTTAGTTCCATTTGAGTGAGTTAAAAGCT